CTTAAGACTGAATGACACAACTTTGCCTTAATCTTCATCCCCTTCTCTGGCTGGAAACCCATCCTTCTGGATGTGTTCAGGGATCAGTCACCTCAGCACCACAAGTGTCCTTCCCAGGGAAAAGGGGTTGGGGTGCAAACTGAAAAGTTGCAAATTCTTCACTTCTAAGGGATTTGAATATGCATTAACAGGACTGAATAGGAAGGTAGACAAACTTTGCAGAGCACTTAAAATTATGCTGTATAATCATTCCCTATTTCATCTGTGCCCTGCCTGTTGTGGACATGTTAAAGTAATCTGGGATGTAATACGGGCATTATTGTTTAGGATAATCTCACAACACATTAATCAAGTAATGGGTTCCTTTGGGAGGGTAGAGCTAGTTTCACCATCTTCCTTGCAATATATGAGTGCAAATGCAGATTTACCGTTCAGCCAGTGCAGTCAAGCTCTACTGAGCTGCAGGCTGGAAGAGTATAAAATGTACATTGTGCAGAGGCAGTGAAATCCTAGATAATGTCTATTCTTCTCGTATCTCAAGTGAACACAGGACTACTAAAGAATATAGACTGTTTTAACTTCCTGTAGTAAAGTGAAATCACTTAAATGTATCTGAATGCTTCCATTATGCCTGTTTCATAAAGGCAAGGTTTAAGTGGTTGCCAGGTGTTACACCATCCTGAGTTTCCAGGCTTGGGGTTTTTTTTTGGTACTGTGTATTTTTTTCCCGTTCTGCCATCCATTGGGCTGTAATGAAAATTATGCTGGTGGTTTGACTGTTGTGAGCTCACAAACTCCTGCCGCTACACTTGCAGCTCCCTGGGGTACGAAGGTAAACCCAGCCCTGGAAACCCTGGGGGATAAGTCCTGATGGGCAGCGAGGAGGGGAAGATAGCAGGAACATTGCATTGGAAAGTCTTTACAGCTCATTGTTTTGGTGGTCTTCCATGAAGAAAATGGGTATGCCATGGTCTGCTAGGCTTTATGTGTGAAAAACTGGTGCTGCTAGGTTTACAAAACTACTTTTTAATGCTGCTTCTGTGTTAAAACAGGCTTCTACAGTGCCTTTTTATGTGGAAAGCTTGTAGCTGGGTGTGGTGGGGAAGCCGTTCAGTGACTCATACTGCAGGGAATTCCCTGATGAATTAGAGTATTTTTACTTCTGGACTTGTGCGCAGTTTCCTTTAACACCAGAGAGAGCGGCTGATAAGAGCAGCCTACAAAGGCCCATTCACTGTTCAGCCACCGCACGCATGTTAAAATGGGGTGTTTATGCTTTGCAAAGCTGAAAATCCACCCCACGTCATGCAGTAGGTTAGCGGTATTTTTATCATGAGCGATCCCAGGTGCTCCCAAGTGTCACAGCACCGAAAAAGAAAAAGGCTGAAGCGGCTGATGGTGAAGTTCATTGGAAGCAGGGATGGCTATAAATAAAGCGATCAGTCTGTAAATGTCAGGCTTCCTGACAAAACCCGGTGTCTTCAGCTGATGGCGGCGCTGATGGCCGCCTGTCAGTGCGGGGCCGAGCTCGGGTGCAGTGGGAGAGCCTGTGCGAAACGGCCGGTTTCTCGCTCCACCGGCATTGTCGCACTCCGGCGCTGCCTCTTCGGCGGAGGAGGGATTGGAGGGTCCTTCTTCCAGCCCTTGGCACGGGTCCCTGGATGAAGCCTCGGCTCTTGTCAGGTCAACTTCTGCCGCGGCTGCTGGCACTGGGGCAGTGAGGCGCTCCGCTGGGCACTCCGCAGGGCTTTTGCCCTGTGCTTCTCTGTGCGGATGTTTGCGTTTTATTTCCCTTCTGTAAAAAAAAACAACCCACAAAATAAAACAAACCCAGTATAATACCTTGACACAACTTTTTAGCTATATAAAGAGTTGTCTTTCTGTTAAAAATATTGCACTATAAATCTTAAAAAACGTCAAAACAAAGCCAGGCATTTGGTTTGGAGAAGACACTTCTTATTACTTGGTAAAAGTAAATAGCAAAATGAAAGGGAATGAAATAAGAGCTTTAGAAAAGCCATTTTCTCCCTTTTCCCTCCCTGCCTCCTCCTCCTCTTCCTCTCCTGCCTCCGTCTCTCCCCCTCCCCGTGTAACAACTGCCCATTTGGGTACAGTAATTCCAGAGAGTAAACTTTAACGGGAATGCCTGAAATGTGTCTGCTTCAGCTTTGTGTTATGTCTGTAATTTGAATTATTTGCATTTTGGAAAGGTATAAATTACTCTGGTGTACTTTGGTTGGCTGGCAGCCAGGAGGGAGTTGCCTGGGGCCGAAGCAGGCGCGCTGCTGCAGATGTGGCAGGCGTACAATGGAAACTTTTGTGGTCGAGCACCCCTCGCTCCTCCAGCACACGCCGACGGGAGGGGGCATCCCGCCTGCTCGCCAGGGTCCCTGGCCTATGGGCACAGGTGGCAAAAACGTTTTCTCCAGCGCAGGCAGATTGTCTTGATGCTTCGGGCTTCCACAAACTGTTGGGGAGCCGTTATTCCTTTCTCTCTTCCTTTTTTTTTTTTTTTTTAACTTCAGCTGAACATTATAAACCTGCAAAACATGTTTACTGTAAGACGTTGACGTAGTGGTCTAAGGTTTCCCTCCTGGAGCTGGTCCCAGTCCGTGGGTGTTGAGATTTCCCTCTTGGTTCACCAGACGTAATATGAGGAATTGTCTTTTTTTTTTTTTTTTTGTCTCTTGCTTCATAACAACTTTCCTCCCTGTGTTTTTGTTAAATGAAATGTCACTAGCTGTTAATGAGTTGTCTATTCCCTACTTCTTCCTTCTCTTCCCCTTCCCCTCAGCTGCTGAGCAGCAATGGTCTGGACAGTCTCAGGGGAATTTCTTGGACCAAAACCTGTATTGTTCTTACTAGCTTCCAAAGACGAGCCTCGGCTCTGAATTTTTATTTTCCTAATAGTTTAGATTACAGCATTTAAAGTATTTCTGAACAAACTCTTTGTCATCATAAAAATTTCAAAAGCACATAAAGGCAGTGCTGCATGAAGTAATTGAAAGATTAGCTAGAGATGGAGTAATTTTGAATTTTACTGCAGGAAATAAAACCCAGAAACCTGAATCAGATCATTTGTCTTGCAGAGCAGAAATTAAACATAGCAAAAAACCTGAACTTCTGGTAATCCGTTTATGAAGGCAAATTGAATACGGTGAATACTGGTCTGGATGTCTGTAGATTTAAAAAACAAAGAAAGAACCCCCAACAAACCCATTATAAAGCAGAAGTTCCTAAACTTTGCAAAATGTGTGATAGTATCGGTGCTGTGTTCCTTTTAGGACTGATTGAATTAATTGGGGGGGGAGTGGGGGGGTGGCAGGGCTGCAGGGGCTCTGCAGAGATGAAGTGGGAGATAAAGGAGGCTGCTCCCAGACATGGGATGTGTCCTGGCTTGCCGAATTTGGGTCAGGTTTTTCCTACTGACAGCTCAGGGGAAGCATCTGTTGGATAAATTGTGATCGCTAGTCCTCCCCAGAAGTCGGCTTCAATTCTGCCGCTCTCAAAAGGCATCGTTAAGGAGACTGGAGCACGGCTTGGCTGCTTCTCCTCTCCCCCCAGCTGAAAGTGGCAGTCCCAATTAAACGGATTCCTTTTCCAACATCCCAGTTTAAAATGTAGGAAGAAACTAAGGGTAGATCTGCTAGTTGTTTCCTCCAGAAGGATCTGCCAAATCCACTGTGCTGTTTGTGCTGCAGCTTTCACGTTGCTCTTCTTTCCATACGTTAAAAAGAAAGGGGTTTTGAACGTTAAAACAATTGCCAGGGCCAGTCCCTCAGCAGCATTCCTTTCACAGTAGGACAGCTGTACACAAAAATATTATTTACAGACATTTGTAATAAATCAGGCAGCTCTAAATGCGTCACCTCCATCCTGGCCTTGAAAACGAGTAAAGAAGAAAAAGTGCATTCACTCTTTTACCTTGCTGAGAGCTGTTTTTCTAAGGCAGGCCCATGTCTATGTGATGACATTCAAAATAACTAATATTTGCATTTGCATGTCCCGATGCTGCAATAAATATACAAAAGAGGTGACATAAAGTCTCATTTTCCCTTTCATTCCATTGACATCTGACAATGGTGGGAGTCATGAGGCTGCATGTGTCCCCGCTGCCCAACTCAGACAGCAGTCTGCTTGTGGCCTTTCATACCTGTTTGTGTTTTTCTAGGCCTGCAGAATGGAACCTTACGTTTTGTATTATTTTTCCAATTTCTTTGCTCTTGAGTTTTGAAGCCACAAGGAAGAAAAAAGAACCTGTTATAGACCAAGGACTATCAGTGAGGTGCAGGAAAAATGACCAGACAAAACCCGTTTTTTCAGAAGATGGATCCCCAGAAAAAGTGAAACCCCAGAAAAAGTGATAGCTGTGGCTTAAAAGCTTTTTGCTTGAAAACAGGCATAGAGTCAATTAGGGGGACTCCACACACCACTAGAAGCAGCTCCAGATAACTGTAGGTGAGACCTCTGTAGCTGGGCTAAACTAACTTCACAATGGAGTCAAAGCTATGTTTCCCAGTCTATGGCCTTGCTTTTTGATCCAAGCATCAGGGTTATGACAAGCCAGACTAGGAGTATATTAAAATTAAACACTGCGCGGCTGAAGATCTTCCTTAGTACTGCTTGTTTGGTTTTGTATTGTTTAATATTAATGCTGAATATGGCTTACTGCACAGGTAGTGATCAAAGGGAAAGGTGTGGAACAGGTGTATATTTTGGCCATACTGGTGGTGGAATAAACTCCTGGTGGCTTTCCCCCATCGTAATATCATGCACTCTGGATTGTGGTTCCTCCCCCTCAAAAAAGATAAGTGGACTCCCATCGTGGGGTACCCAGATAGCCTCCTGGTTGGGCAGTGCTCGGGCAATGCATTTTGAGAGCTGGTTTTCGTATATGTGGTGCCCCTTCAAAGAGATTTTTTTTGCAGAAGTCATATATTTGTAGTCTTGGGAGAGGAAAAAAAGGACAGAATGCGATATCTTTTCCTTTTGTCTTTTAGATGGTCACCATGTGTGGGAAATGGAAGCCAAAACCGACAAAGAAATGTGCAAGCCAGTAAGTCTGCCTTAAATATTTTAACATCAAGATGAAAAATATATATTGCCTTCTCCAGCACTGTTACTAAAGAGGGATTTCCAGGGCCTTGGCACTGTGTCTCCCCACTGAAACAGAACAAGTACTTAGGCCTCCCCTCCTGGAAATTTCTTTAACGGGAGCATGGGCTAAAAATCCTTCATTGGAAGCTATCCCAAAAGTAGGAGAGACCATTTGGAAAATATTTTTTCATTGTTGGGGATGGGCCAGCCTTGTCTGCTCATCTTCTATCTTGCTGGGTCAGTTCTTCCCTCTGTTCCCAAAGCAATTTCTGATCATTTTCCTTGGCTTTAGTCTACCTTCAGCAGAAGAAATGTGAGTCCCCTCACAGGAGATCCAGGCCCACAGTTGGAGAATTGTGGCTCCCTCAGCCATGACTTTTAAGTGGGAAATATGGCCACTGTTCCACCTCTGCAGGAATATGCAAGAGTTTGTTAGCTGCAAACCTACTAGAGACATGCAGGCAAACAATTTAGAGACCTCAGCTGAATGCAGGCCAGATGCTAAGACGAGCATTCCCTTTTTATTCTTTCAAAAAGTGCCAAGGAAGGTTTTGATGGTCATAGCAGATTCCACTGTGCATTTGTGTAAGCTGATGCCCTAGCAGCCAAGTCGTTCCTTAGCCCCATGCTGGAGCATTTGGTTTCTGACAGTGGAAGATCATCTATGCACTCTCCAGCCCTTATTCCTGTAGTGCTAGATGTTCTTGCAAGATCTCCCATCCACAGAATCCAGCATGCTTAATACTTCCAGAGTTGTTACATGAAATAACATTTCACTGTGGAAAATGAAAAGATTTGAATAATCATATGCCTGTCTTATTCTTTCAAAGAAGTTGTTTTAGGGTGAGATAACACTGGAGATGACCTGCCAGCTGAGCGACTGTGTTTTCTCCTGCTGTGTTAGAGACCACAATTCTATTGTAGTCTCAGGTTCTTGTCAGAGGCGGGAGGGATAGACCCTTGTCCATACGTGGTATCTTATTTGATGACCAAAGGGAAGAGGTAAAGGCTAGGGATTTTGTAAGGACCTGAGCCACGCTAAAATCTTATTTCCTTACTTCTGGAGTCCTTTGCATGGCCACTGGGGATGGCAGGAGGCCATTCCTGACCACAAAACCCACCCGTTCCCCTGCAGAGAGTATGTTCCTCCTTGTGAGCCCGGGCACCTCCTTCTCAGGGTTAACATGTGAATACTATTGTACAGCTCAACTGCCTTAGTCATGCCTTGACTTTCTGATTTGTTGCTTTTGCAGAATTCGTTGGTGGTTGAGATACCACCTTTCCGCAATCAGAGAATTACCAGCCCTGTTCAGGTCAACTTCTATGTCTGCAACGGAAAGAGAAAGAGAAGCCAGTACCAGCTTTTCACCTATCTTCCTGCTAATGGTAACAGAATATATTCCTTATCTCTGCTAGTAAAAATGAGAAGTAATGATGATTACTTAGAAAGATACATGGCTGTGATAATTCTTTAGTAACCTGAGTAATGTGGAGGTATACCTGGCACTATAAAATGAGAGGGAGAGTCAAACCATGAGAGCTGTCTTTCTCTCTGCTGCCCGCCTGAGAGACCTTCTCTGCAGATTATTTTCTTTTGGATTGGTGGCAGAGACCTGTTGGAACAAGGAATTCCTGCTTTTTGTAACTAAAGTGGTCCGGCAAAACCTCACACGTGTACCCAGAGATTGTGAACATGCTGAGCTCTCCGCTAAGTTGCTGTCAGCTCTCAGTCTGACTTCAGGGCCCCAGAGGGTACATTGCATTTGAATAATACTTCTAAATTCACATCACAGCATTGAAAGCATGCTGGGCCCTGAGCTGGAGGGGGTGTGGGGATTCTCCTTCCAGTCATCTTGCATCTCAGTGTCTCGCGTGGAGTCAAAATAGGGCTCCGGGCTGATGTCACTCGTGGGTAGCGGTGAAAAGCACAGTGTGGATGGAGATCAGAGTGCATCATACAAAATGCTTCATGTATAGGAAATGTTCGGAAACACGTGTGCCAGGATTTTTTGAAACTTTTATTAGTGGTGGTGATGTGACAATAGTGTCACTCATGCTAGCTGAGTTCCAAACAGGCTCATATGAAGATTTTAATAGCAAGTACATGTAGTTTGGGGATTTTTTTAATTTTAAATGGCTCTTTTTCTGACAACCCTTTTTTTTGGTAATGTAGGAAAACAGGGTGGTTGTTTTGTTATTGCTGTTTTGGAAGGAAGAGAAGTTAGAAAAATGATTAGGTTCATGCTTTTTTGTAGACTTCCCAAGTGATAATAGTCATTCTGATGGAAATGTCACATGACTTGCAGAGACCTGCCAACTTTTTGCAGGTGAAATTCCATAAAACACACATTTGGAATTTCACCCAGTTAGCTTTCATGCACTCCAGACTTTTATCAGGACTTTAAAATAAAAGTATAGGAAACCTGACACGGGCAACTGATCGCTTATTGTGTATGTGCTGCGTAGCTACGCTTCACTGAATCAGCCTACTTATGCAAACTTCCTCCCCAGTAGGTACGTCTGTGTGTGTTTAAAGACTGTTCATCTCTTAAATTGGAAACAAAAAGAGTTGTTATTCTCTTGCACAATACTTTTCATCAACAAAAATCTCTTGTAGATGCCAACAGGTATTGCCTTGCCACTCAGGTTACCCTCCTAAGTATTTCAGATACATGCCAGTTGTTACTTGCTGTTATTAGGCAGCATCTTTCCTCTACAGCCTTTACATAGGCCATTATTTACCATTTTATTCTAAATCATGAGAACAGTATTCACTGCTGCCTTATGCTACCACCATTCTGAGTTTGAAACATTTGATATTTCATTTGATGTGAAGAGATGGGAATGTCTACCTAGTGACAGGGAATGAAGAACCAGCCTAGGCTTTATTCTGCAAAGACATCTTTAATTATGGTAATTGTTGAAAACATTGGGAATCTTGTTCAGTCTGCTGTACTGATTTAAATTAATGCGAAATCTTTTCAGTGTAGGAAAACGTGAAAGAAAATAATGTAACACCAGAAAAGGGTAAAGGGAAGCAGGTATTCATAGTAAATACGCCTCTCCGCATTCCTGGTTGGTTCTTCGCTCACGTTGTCTTAATATACATGTATATGTACATATAGGTAAAACAACTTAACTCTCTCATAGCAGTAGTAAGAGTGAATGTGTTTCTGCAATCATCAGAATTAATAGTATAGTGTGTTTTTATTATGCTTGTGTTGTGGCTGTAAGGTTTTGCCCTGTTGCTGGTGGTTGTTTCCACTGTGCCTTTCAAAGACAGATACGATCACCTTGACTGCGTATTCAGAAACCATGCACAATAACCGAAATCAGTTGTTTACGCTGCTGTATTTCTGTGAGTCATTTTAAGATGATCTGCTTTATTTGATTCCACTCACAACATTCTTTTAGTGTTTCAAGACACTGTAGAAAACCAAAAAGTTTAGCTCACGAAGAAAAAAATATTTGAGTCAACAACCACTGTATGATCAGTGTGGAAAAAAGTAAAGGAGATAAGCAGTATTTTGGTCCAGGTAACACTTTGTCTCCTATTTAAACAAAGGCCACAAACATAGATTGTGTAGGTTTTTGACAAGTGAATGTCAGACTGGTCATCAAGTTAAGATGCGGATTTCCACAAATCAGATGGTATCCTGTAAGCTGCTTCTCCTTCAGTGCTTTAGGACTAGTCAAAATGCTAACACTCCAGTGCCTACCATAAGTTGGCAGGTATTTCTGTGTGAGGGATCTTTCAAAAGCTGCGTGACGCACGTTAGACATATATTTTACAGCTTAACTGGACTGTGCCAAAGCAAAATACCGTCTATGGACTAAAGCCTAAATATTGTGTGAGCCCCTGGCTGTGCTGCTGGGGTGGGTGTCGTCATGTGCGGACGGTGCAACCAGCGGGAGAGCCATGGGCTGGCTGTGCGGCTCCCACCCTGACTGCAGAGCAATAGCGCTTTTTTTCCTGTAGCTCCTGTTTCTCCTCGTTCCCTAGGGGAGAACAGCCAGTGGATCCAGGGACACGTGGCCTCCCTCATCCCATCTCCCGTGGATGGTCCTGTAGTGGCTCCATGGAGTACAGCTCTGTGACATGCAGTCAGCACAAGCTGCCTTCTCCACCGGAGTGTTACGGTGTCGCCGCCGTACGACTTCTCCCGTGCTGTGGAGATACGGCAGGATTGCACTTCTCCTCTGTGTTAGCTCAAGTGTCTTGCAGAGCAGGGACCTACTTGGTGAAGACAAGTTTCTGCCTCAGAAAGAAATAAGAAAAGCTGTAAAAAAAAAGAATCTCACTGCTCTGTAAATGAAAAGTTTAAATAACAAAACAAAACAGAAAGTAGAGACTTCACAAATGGGAGCCAGGATCTGTAAAACGGGCCAAATGGGTCTTTGACTTGGGACAGCCCGTAGACCTAAGTACTCATAATCCACTTTTAATTGAAATTTTAGTTTACTGTTCTGCTGAGTATGAGCAATCCCCAAATCCTCTATTAGCTTATATCGTACAGGAATAACTGCTATGTAATTTTTTTTAGTCTGCTTCAGTATTACTCATTGCTGAGCAATTGCATATCAGTTCTGTCCTGGAGCCTGCAGGCTGTAGGCTCTTGAGACTTCTTGCCAGACATACCTTGCACAGAAATCTACGTAGTTTCCATACCATTCTGGCACAGGTGAATTCCTGCAGATCATATGGTAAGTACTAATACATTTTGCATTGCTGCATCCCGTCAGAATAGGAGGAGAAAGGCGCAGGACCAGATGCTGCAGTCAGGCGTCTGAACAAAGCACAATGAGCAGGCACATGGATATTCAGCTTTTAAAGTCCCTCCACTGCTGCAGCTCTTTGCAGGTGTCTTCTGTGGCTCTGCTGCGTGCATTTTGGAAAACCATTGGTGAACCTTGCGTTTGTGAACCTTACCCTCTAGAAAAATGCTTTGTTTTTATTTCTGTTTATGACTGCATGCTATTTTGCTTCTATGAATTTATTATACTATTGGCCCATGTATGCATTTCAAACAGGAGGAGTAGTCTTCTGAAATTACTAGGCATAAGCAGTAGCATTTGAGGTATAAACTAATCTGGAGAGGCTGAAGAAGCACACAAGCAAGCAGACGTATGCCGTGGTTACCAATCCTGTGCTGCTAAGAAAGATGAAGGAGCTTTCCAGCTCAGAAGACTTTAAACAACACACGGGGGTTGATAAGGGTTAGCTCTCTGTTTATTCGGATTTCTTTTAAGTAGGTACATCAGAATAGAGGAAATGTGTTCAAGAACTTTTTTTTTTTTGCAGATAGGAGCAGATGCTGTCTGTGATTTCTGTTATCTAAAGAATATTGGTATCAAGAACAGTTAACAGAAAAAATCTTCTTTGAATTGTACTTAGACAAGTAGTGATACTTGACTAAGCAAAGACAGGGTAGTTTGTCTAGGAAAAATTTAATAAGATGGAAAAAGGAAAGTTGATGTGTTTCTTGTACTGGAATGAAAAATATCTCTTTGCAAAGAGTTGATGATACCGTATTTCCGGGTTCTGTTCCGTCAGGCTTACTAATTGTCAAAGCATTATTAAAAAATCATTTCACTGCTTCTAGTTTTTATTAAAATGGTGTTGATATGCTGGGCAGCTTTTATTTTGAGATGTGTTTCGCAACCAGATTTCCAAGCGTGCAGCCTTCACGCACAGAGCCAGCTTTTCTGCAGTGTCTCTTGCCTTCCTGCAGGCACCAGCCCCAGGGTGCTGAGCATCTCTGAAAACTTGGCCGCCTAAACAAGTGACGTGGTGGGGACGCGGGTCCTTTGGACCTGTGGGTATGGAGCTGTGCTGAGAGCCTGCCTGTGGTGACTGGATGTGCCTTAGTATTGTTGTTTACAGCCCGGCGGTGCGAAAGTGACGCTCTCGGTGTGCTTCTGAAAAGGGTGAGCGGTGCCACTGCGCATTGCTGTCAGCATCCTCCTAACTTCCTGCCTCCGCTCTAAAATTATCTCCTGCCTGCCCTACACATGATTACAATCAGCAGTTTTCTAGTGACTGCACTGAGCAGCCGTGCCTCTGTTTCACCTTGGCTCTTCCGCCCACAGCTCCCTTTCTACGTGAAAAGGTGACATCGGCTGCCGTAGCAAAAAACAATAAAATGAGGATGCAAGGCGTTGCCGCTCTGACGTGACAGAGCACGGCTTTTGTCATCTCCCAACACCTCTTACCTCTGGAGTATTTGTTGAATTTTAATGCTGGAGGCACGAAGCCTAGACATGTCTGCAAAGTGGTGGTAATTTGCTGGCGGATGGGGAAGCGGGGCCGAATTCAGTGCCGGCGGCGTGAACCCACAGCGTATGCAACATGTCCACGGCAGTGCCGCGGCGGGCAGCACCATGCG